TGGAGCTCACCTGGCCGCGCTGCCGGCATCGCCGCTTCGCGAGGGCTGTTAAAACCGCGCGGGTCCCGGTCCCGGTTCTAGTGCCTGGGCCCTAAGCTGCCAGGTGAAACGGAAAGTGAGAGGGGCTGCGGAGGAGCGCTCGGCCGGGCTGGTTCCCTCGTCCTTAGGAGGGCACTGTGACCGGCGCCGCTGCTGCTGGCGTTTGTCTGGCGTTGTGGGATCTGTCGGGTTGGCGGTGGTGCTGGGACGTGCCGATGACGAGAATGAATGAAAGCTGAAGAGTAAACAAAAGTAGCAGTTAGCTAAAGTCTTCTAGTGTGCCTCTGTGGGGGCGTCAGTGGTTTGGAATCACTTAATTACACGTTATTGACTTTACTGTGTTTCTCTTAAGTTGCTGCGGTCGCACTAAACGTTTGCAGGTGACACTGAGGAGGCGTTAAGGTGAGAACCAGACACTCAATCTGAAGCGAGAAAAGAAGTATTTGTATGTGACCCTAGTTTCGTTTTCACTGAATAGAAATACTTGGAAATAGGGATCCTGAAAGGGAAAATACAAAGAAATCAAAGTAGGGAGATTCTTAAGAGCTTAAACTGCAAGGTAAAGGAGAATATTAGGGCTTTGATTTAAAATGTCGCTTTTGATGTGTTTCTGGCATGGTTGCCATGAAAGGAAATGAGTCCGCTTGATAAGTGCCATGGTGTCAGTTATGGAGGAGGGTAAGCATGAAAGATGTAGAAAAGAAAGTTAAAAGAGATAAGTTTAACTTGATAGTAGGATACTGGAAATAAAGGTATTGGAGAGCCAGTTAAGGCCAAGGATGAAGACAGACAAAAGCAGGCTAGCAACATTCAAGGTCAATGATTTCTTCAGAAACTCAGGTGCTGTGCTCTGTTACAGGGATGAATACTAACCTTTGGGGTTAATTTTTAGACTTCTGATTGATTAAACCCTTGTAGGCTTTGCTTTTTCCCATTCCCCTGTCCTTCTGTCCAGAGCATTCATTGGGGGGGAAAGAAATATCCCTTTAGAAAGAGGAGATCCAGTCACTGTTTCTCCTTTTCTAGTCCCTCATTTGGGACCTTCAGCTGACTCCAGTGCTGACTCTGGTTTTGACTTTCAGAACCAAGAGTAGTTCAGTAAAATACTGTGGAGTTCAGAGGGTTTTTTTTATTTTTTTCCACAGTTTTTCTGAAATTCTGAAGGTATTTTGTAAGATATTTTTAAACTCACTGCTGTCTGGAAAAACATGGAGTTTGCCATAGAGTCACTGGTGGAGTAGCATGATAAGTACCTGCAGAGGACCACTGCATTAGTTGATGTTTGGAAAGTTAAATTTGCAGCTGTAGTCTAGAACATTTTTGAAATGATTCATTGAATGGAGTTGTAAATCATCAGTAATTGCAAAAGAATGCACTTAGTTTTTCCCAAAATAATTTTTCAATACTATGAAATACTACTAGCAAAATAATAATAACTAAAAAGTGGAACTTTTCATAGTGTATAAAATGTATTCATCTTTGTCTTCTGAGAGCTTATAGTGCTCAATTCCATTCTTAATTCGTACACAAAAGATAGAGAATGTGCATTATCTTCACTGAACTTCCATAAGCAAGGTATCTTAACATTTACTAAGCTGTTTGATACAGTGCTGCAGTACTTTTGCATGGCTTACAGGATTTCTGCAGGAAGTTTGAGAAAGCATTGCTCCCTCCTCTCCATAAATCATAATAACTTAAAATAATCCAGAATAAATGTTGCATGGTATGTGTTTCTACATTTCTAGGCATTGAAATGTCATATCTGAATAATCTGGGAAGGCTCCTCTGGTGTAGGAGAAAGCATTTAAAAATAGTTCACCCTCTTTATAAAAATTCCGTGTTCATTTTTTCAAAGATATGTACAAAATGTCAGTGCTGCTTTTTTTTTTTTTGCTTCCTTATGAATGCTAGTCAAAAATATTTCCAAGTGATGATATGAATCAAATCAGGTCAATAATACCTTCTACTGAGATATTAACAACAGAAAATAATAATCTTGGGCTACTAATCTTCTTTCAGTAATAATTTTGGGCTGATGGGAATGGTATTGCTCTTTTTTTTCCCTCTCCCCTCCACTAACCAGAGAATATGGTTGGCTTGTAGAGTGAATCTGAATTTGTTGTAGCAGTAGAGGATTACAAACATGTTTCCAGTGAATACAGAAGTGTCAGAGTAGTAACTGCAGCAGATGTTGGGAGTTGGCCTCTGCCTTCTTGCTTGATCCCTACTTTGTGCTGTGTCTGCAGGAGGAATGAATGCTTGCTTCCCATGACTGCATGTTTATCTTATTGGCAGCTAGTAATTCCTTTGGAGTCCTGCCTCCAAGTGTTTTCCTTCCAGAATGCAGATTGTTTCTGCTCTTCTAAACTAAAGAGTACTAGAGAAAAGGGCAGATTGCAATTGTTGTATTGCCTTCAGTCAGCAGATTAATTGAAAATAAAACTTGCAATTCAATTTTTTGCAGTAAACAAGTATTGAGAATGTCTGCACTAAATCAAATGTAGCAGGTTACGTAGTAGTTTTAATTCTGGGTGGTTAAAATGCTCGTAGCACAAGTTGAAGTGGCAGGTGATACAGTAGAACTACAGATTTAGCACCACATGGTCTGCAACCTTGCGGAAAGATGAGCCTTTTCAGAATTTAGGGAAGTTGAATGTTGCTGTAACAAATCTCTTTACACTGAGCTGTTTTGAAATTTTTGTGCAGTAACTTAAATGGAAGTCCTGAAATAGGAGAATGATACTCCTTTACTCCCGAGCTCTTCAAGCAACAGTAAACAATCACCCTGATCTACATTGCAGTCAAAAGTGCAACTAAAGTACATTTAGGTAGATCTGGTGAACGGTAGCGGTGAAAGCTGTGATGGTGTGGGTGGGGTTTTGTTTGTTTCAGGCTAGGCTATACAAAACTACTGGGATCTTTGAAATATATATACACGTGCACACACAGAGATGCAAACTAGGCTGCCAGCCTGTCTGTGGTATTACACTGGTTTTGCTAGCTGGTTTTATGTATCCTGTAGGTTTCTAAATTGTCTGGTCACAGGGATAGCAATAACGTGAGGATGAGCGCACGGATAAACAGACATCTGTAGCCATGTTGCTGCTGTTCCTGTTTGACTCTCACGCAAACCGAATGGGAAAGAAATAAGTTAGGCCTTAGAGGTTTAATTTTAAAATTAGGATGTATTTCTAAGTATGGTCTTCGAGATATCTTAGAGGCTGTTATCAAATAGTAGCTTTAGTCATAGCTTGACATTTCTAGCCTAGTTTCTCAGAGAAACCTTCCATCGTACTTTTACCTTCCCAGTGTTTCTTGAGCAACCTTTACAGCCAGGCAGAACTCAAAGACATTTAGTATCTACTAGTTTTGTGAAAAGTGGCTGGATACCCAAGCTGGTGTTTGATAGCCATCAGCGCACGTGTAGCTTGGAAAGTGCCTGTAGCATTGCTTTGATTTGTGTTCATTCGAGAAGCTGGGGGAAGTGGGGCTGCTACGCAAGGTATGGAAGGTGGAATGTGAGGTCTCAGGAGAATGGGAAGAACCACATGTTATTGCAGTAAATGTAATGGGGTAAGAGTTGCAAATGGAAAACAAAGTTCTGTTATGTGTTCATAAAACAATCCTCCTGTCCACACTACCAGTAAATCAAAAGGGATGTCTTTGCTGTGTGTATACATGCATGCGTGCTTTTTTGTTGCATTCAGTTTTGGTATATAGTTCCAAATACGTGCTTTTTTGATAAGGAGCTTCTGAAGATGTCTCTGTTATTGAAGTAATTGGTATTTACAAGACTTGCTATATTTGTAAACTCAAGAAAGTTTTTAGGTGGTCATAAAATAGGCTGAGTTCTATAAATTTAAAATATCTGCAGATTGGATGATCTAAGGTTTTTTTTCACTGTTTTTATGCATGAGTTTTTCCTGGTACCATGTTTTATTGTATGCCTAAATTTGTTTCTTTTTCAGAGATTGGAATGGGATTAACAGGCTTTGGAGTGTTTTTCCTTTTCTTTGGAATGATACTCTTCTTCGACAAAGCTCTTTTGGCTATTGGAAATGTAAGTGTCTTCTGTTTTATCTTAGATTCTGCACTGCTTAGAACTAGATATATGATAAAAATAGAACAATATCTTATCAATTTGAAACTGGATCACAAAAAATCCTGTAGCAATTTGGTATAAAGAAAGAATTATGCTCAGTGATACGAGTGATTAGTTTTTCCTGATTAAAGTTAGAACAGCTCACAAGAATCTAAATGTTGTACCTCCAGGTCAGGCCTGTGGTATGTTGGTCAGACAAGCAGCAGCTTGTTCCACAGTTGTTATGCTGCTGCAAATATGATTTTCAGATTGACTGTCATTGCTAATGCTTTCTTTTTTTCTGATCTTGTAAGATAACTGTCAAAGTTCAGTATATATTTGCCTAAGAATAGTGAAGCGTTCTTACATGCTAACAAACGTAGCTTTGCTGTGCTTTATGAGGAAAGAAAGAAGTATGAATTGCTGGTAGTCTGGGTTTAGAAAAAGCAATCACCCTTCATAATAGAGAGATTTAATATCTTCACTTTTTACTAAGGCAAAGTTTTCACTTAAAGCAGCAAAGAAAATAAATCCTAGTACATAAAATTCCCAGTCCGAAACAAATGTAAGATGACAGGATGTTTTCTGACTGTGATAATCTCTGTGCTTCTGCTGCTCTCAGCTTCGACAGCCAGCCCAGAGCATAGCCTGGTAAAGGTTCGTGTCATCTTTTGCTGATGCCTAAAAGTCTGTGGTCAAAACTGATGAGTTTTCTTCTGTGGCAGCAGAGTCAAATACTGAGAATCACTGAAGGAAAATCCAAACCTGCATAGTTGAATTTGGGTGCATTAGTTGAAGCATTGTTCTGAGCCATCAATAAAGTGTGTAGTGGGAGAGTAAAAAATAAAATAATGCTGCTTTTTTTTTCCCCTAATGTAAGATGGAAATACAAGATCCTGTTTAGGGAAAATGATGAAAACGCGTAGGAAGAGACAATGACAGGCTAAGTGGTAACCAAAGATAATGCAAGAAAAGATACTGTATCCTTACAGAAAGCTTTAAAAAATAAGTGGTGTCAGAAAAGGGAAGAGATGGTAAGAAAGTGGTTTATTAAATAACGTACAAAACTTAAACTTCATCTGTAATCTTGAGTAAAATCTGAGTTACTATCTCCTTCTCAGCAAAATGTTGCCCAGATGTATGCTTACAAGCTGCAGTAGTTACAAGTCCTGTTGTTAAAGGGCGCTAAAAGTAATGCTAACTAGTTGGGACTAGTGTGATATTGTCCAGTCTATACTGGAACTAGTAAACAGTAGAAAGACTATATACAGAGGAAAAAAAAAAAAAAAAAAAAAGGAAAAAATACAATAACTGATAATGCTCTTCATCTGTTTTCCCTTTTTGGCTTTGCACTGTGCAGTAGATCAGTGCAAGCTGTTGAAGATGTCTATGGCACAGAACAGAGGTGCTTTTGTAATGTGTCTGATATAACTGCTGTCACCAGGCCTGTTGACATGGTTGTGCTTGTCAGAGACCACAAAGGTAGACTCTCTACTTTTGAAGTAGCTGAGAGTTCTGAGTGCTGGCTACAAGTGCTTTAAGATGGACTTTACAGAAGAAAATCACTAGTAAATTCCTTCTCACCATCTGTCATTTGGTATTAAAAGAAGTTATGCAAGGAGTGCAGTCCAATTCTGTAGTATATATTTTTGTGTTTACATCCTAAACTTAGGAATATAATGAGCTGTTTTCTTTCTTTGGTTGTTTTTGTCTTTTCTAGGTTTTATTTGTGGCTGGCTTGTCTTTTGTTATCGGTTTAGAAAGGACGTTTAGATTCTTCTTTCAAAAGCACAAAATGAAAGCAACAGGCTTTTTCCTGGGTGGTGTGCTCATAGTTCTCATTGGTTGGCCTTTAATAGGAATGATCCTTGAAATTTATGGGTTCTTCCTACTATTCAGGTAAGACTTGTTTCAGAATACCTTTCGGTATTGGCGTATCTAGGAATCAACATGTTCGTTTACTGTTGCTGCATTACAGCTGACAAAGCAGCATCCTTTAAATGTTCACTTTTGATAGATTATATAAAAAGTTGTTGATTTGCATTTGCAAGAGGTGGAAGGTTGGTAAGTATTTCTCCAAGATTCAGATTTGTTTGTTTGTGAGGCATATACCAAACCGACTCTGGTAATGTTGTTTATGTCTAACCAAAGAATTGTAAAGCTTCAAAATACCTGGGAGCCTAACTTGTTAGTAGTGCAAAGTTTAAATATTTCCTCATTAAAAAAGGCAACTTAGGTACTTAGTATTTTTTTGGCAGGGAGTTTGTTCTTTTCTTTAACAAACGGGGCAAAATACTTTGTTACAAGCATTCTAGGTTTGTAACCTTATCATTTTGTCACTATTGCAGCCCAGCGAAGAGATGTTTTCTGTCACGTTTCATTATGCTTGTGCCCTCCTATAGTCAGAACTGCTGTTTTTGGTTGGCATTATCTCAACTGAGTTAAGGAAAAATGAAAATTCTTTTTTGAGCAGCAATCTTGATAAATGTCATAGCTTTCACAATGTGTCATGTAACTTCTTCATAAATGCAATTGTAATGGTGAAAGAATTTGACTTGTTACAACCTGTATATGTATTTTATCTTTATTACCATGGTTGGAGTTCCGTACTTCACTGTGGAACAAAGTACAAAGTATGCTAATAGGTAAGAAGGGAGGCTTTTAGTGGTTCTTGGACTTATGTTCAGATGAAGACTGTTTCATTAACGCTTATTGATCTAATAAGTTTTGGAGTGTTCAGCTACTGGCTAAATAAGACAGTTTCTGTTAATCAAAATCAAACCACTGTTTTCATGGTGCTTTTTTTTCTGCTCAGTAAAATTCTATGTTAGTCTTGTATTTAGTTTAGAAAAAATGTTTAAATATTTTCTAAAAAAAAAAAATCTTAACTTGGCTCCTACTGAAGACAGTGAGATTTCTGAAAATTAATTTTGCAGTTTTAATATGTGCTTCTTATTGCTCTACTCTGTATGACTCTGAACTCTATCACTGCAACTGTTTTGAAAATCACAGTATTTCACTGAGTACATTGTCACTGCTTGCATGTAGCACTTGGGTTTAATCAGCCAGTACAAAGCAAGTAGAGTGTGTTTTCAGCCAAACACCCCTCCTATGTAGGGGACAAAAGGAAGTCCAAGGAGAATGTAGGCCCCCTCCGGAGGGATACTGGTGCTCTGGTTACCCGCGACATAGAGAAGGCTGAGTTACTCAATGATTTTTTGCCTCAGTCTTCACTGATAAAGCCTCTTGTCTTACCACCCAAGCTGTGGAAAGAACTAGCAGGGACTGTGAGGATGAACCACCGCCCACTGTACTTGAAGAGCAGGTTCAGGAACATCTGAGGAACTTGAAGGTGCACAAGTCCATGGGACCTGATGAGGTCCATCCGCGGGTCCTGAAGGAACTGGCGGATGAAGTCGAAAGTCGTGGCGGTCTGGCGAGGTCCCCGATGACTGGAAGAGAGGGAACATAACCCCCATTTTTAAAAAGGGGAACAAGGAGGACCCGGGCAACTACAGCCCGGTCAGCCTCACCTCTGTGCCTGGCAAGGTCATGGAGCAGATTCTCCTGGCAACCATGCTAAGGCACATGGAGTGCAAGAAGGTGGTGGGTGACAGCCAACATGGTTTCAC